CAAACACTTTCATATTAGCCTATATCCTGCCCCTTCCCTGGTTACCCCTTTATCTTTTCTTCCTTCTGAAAATGTGCACCAGTTACCTACTATGGGCCAAGCACTGAATGCTTGCCCTATTTTCGCAATTTTTCACGTGGACATTGTAACAATACCAAGCTTCTGAAATTCTTTTAAAAAGACAAGTGAAAAAAGACACTAAAAGGAAATCCAGATGTTCATTAAATATTCTTGTAAAACTGATTTGTAAAAGAGCATAAATCAGGAATATGATTCTTTCAGTGGCAAATGTTTTATAAAAATAAATGTTCAGTTGTCAGTAGTTAACAAGGCAATGCTCTGAAAACCGGCCCCATTATGCTCTAATCAGGCCGTGCTTTTCCCTTCCCTGGCCTCTCTTCCATAGTTTTGCATAAATCTACTTATAGCAATAGTAGTTGTAAGAGAGCTAGAAGTACAGTTAGAAGATTATCTCATTCACATATATGCCCATTTTATAGATGAAGAAACTTAGCCCCCCCCCAAAAAAAGGAAGTGGCCTGCCCAAGGTCAAACAGTTAACTAGTGCAAGGGCCAGAACTAGAACCCAGATCTGTTGATTCTTAATCCAGAGCTCTTCCCTTTTGAAGGGATCATGGTCTGTGGGCTTCATTGGTATCCAAGGAAGGCTTCCAGCACAGTGGGTGGCCCTTCTGTAGTAAATTTATGGACAACATGGAGGAGAGTTTCACAGATATGGGTGAGTGTGAGCTGCACTCTCCTTGTCAAGTAATGATGCTAACAGCTTTCTTTCAAGTCTCAAGTAAAAATGCTAATAGTTCTTATGCATGGAGCCTTCGAAAGCTTACAAAGTGCTTTACACGCAGTCTCTCATTTGAGGCGCCCACTAGCTCAGTGAGGTGGGTGCTCTTATTATCTTCAATTTGATAAATGGGCAACCCAAGTCTCAGACAGGTTAGGTGACGTCCCCATGGTCACACAGCCAGTAAGTGTCAGAGGCAGAATTGGAAGCCAGACTTCCTGATGCCTCATCTAGCTCCCTCAACTACCCTCAGCCTTCCTCTTCTTTCTCCTTTGAAACTCAGGATATCTGCCCTAGTATTTTATACTGAATATTAGTTGTTCAGTCATTTTTTAGTTGTGTCTGACCCTTCGTGATCCCATTTGGGGTTTTCTTGGCAAAGATACTGAAGTACTTTGCCATTTTCTTCTCCAGCTTATTTTACAGATGAGGAAACTGAGGTAAACAGGGTTAAGTTACATCCCCAGGGTCACACAGCTAGGAAGTATCCTAGGTAGGATTTGAACTCGGGAAGATGAGTCTTCCTGACTCCAGGCCTGGCACTCTGTGTACTGTGCCACCTAGCTGCCTCTTTATATTGAGTATTCAACCTAATGAAGAAGGAAATGGCAAACCACTCCAGAATATTTGTCAAGAAAACTCCAAATGGGGTCACGAAGAGTCCAACACGACTGGAAACGACTGAACAACAACTCAATGGAAACACTGCACGAAGAACTGGCTGAAACACTGTTCACATTTCCCCTCTATGGTCAAATGCAATCAGATTGCAAGCTACTAACTGAGCATCCCCGTCACCTCCTCTCTTCTGAAGACCAAGAGCTCCATGGAGTAATCCTACAGGCTTTGGGAATCATTACATTTCCAAGCTCTTGTTCAAAGCGCTGTGATTAATTAGCATGTTTCTTATGAAGCAGTCCAATTTCCAGTGACATAGATAACGGAGGAAAGAGCAGATTTCTGACAGCAGAAATCCTTTCCGCATGATTAGACGCACATAGGAGGAGCCGCTTGATGCAGAAAGCGTTGAAGGGGGTTCATTTTGATGGGTACCGCAGTGAATGTGGCATTACCTCTCCAAATGGCTACTAAAGAAAAGGAGCTAATCCAGCCAGGTTTTCCTCACCAGTATAATAACACTAGGTCACAGTCAGCCAGCCAATAAACACTTATTAAGCACCTACTGTGTGCTGGGCACTGTGCTAAGTACTGGAGATGCAAGAAAGGTGATGGACAGCCCCTGCTCTCGAGGAGCTCACAGTCTAATGGGGGAGACAATATGCCACTATGGATGAACAAGGTATAAAGAGGACACGTGAGGAGCACTTTAAGTTTGGCAAAGGCCTTTTCCTTTCATTGTCTCATTTGAGCCTCACATTGACTTTGTGAACATAGGTGCTATTATTCCCATTTTACATATGATGAAACTGAGGCTTCAAAAGGTGCACTGACTTGCCCAGGATGTCCGAGGAGGGATTTGAACTCAGCTCTGAGCCCAGGGCTCTGGCCACGATACTAATGTCATTTCTCTAGCTCAGGAACATCCGACTCCCAAGAAACTTTTCCTTATCTGCAAACTGAGAAGGCTTTCAAAGGGCCTTTCTCATTCTAAGGTGCTCTGACCTTATTGGAAACAGAGGTTTCCAGAATGAGAAGGCATGGCGGCCCAGCCAGTGACCTGGTTCACCCCATGCCCACCAGAGAGGCCCAGGGGTGTGCCAGGACACAGCCACATGTGGCCGCTTCCTTCAGTCCTCCCCCGAGGCAGAGCGCCTTGGTCGCTTTCAGGCAGCCACTGGAAGGCTAACTCAGCCGCTCTGTGACTTCCACCCATTGTTCCAGGTCCTGCCCTCCCACGTGACAGTGGCTCAAATACTTAACAAGGGCTTCCTGTTCTCCCTCCCATCACCCCCCACACTCTCCAGTCCAGCCTCTGAGGCCAAACAGAGTCAGACCAATTCCTCTTTTGCGTGAGGACCCTTAAAATATCTGAAAACAGTAATTGTGCCCCACCCCTCCCTGCCCAGCTTTGTCTTCTCCAGGCTAAAGGTCCCAGTCCCTTCATCCAGTCCTCACGTGACAGACTCAAGACCCTACTCTGCTCTGGATGCTTTCCAGCTTAGCCATTTTAAAATGGGGTACCCAAATAGGATCAGACCAGGACAGAGTACAACAGAACTACCATTTCCTAATTCCTCTCAATACAGCTCAACCTTACTTATAGAAGCATTCTGGGATGCTATATCATACTACTGACTCATATTGGGCTTGTGGTCCACTAGAACCCTAAGATCTTTTTCAGACAAATTGCTGCCTCCCTCACAAATATCACCTACTTCACAGGGTTGTTGTGAAGACTAAATGTGATCACATCTGTAAAGCACTGTGCAAATCGAAAAGCACTATAAATGCTAACTATTGTTATGAAATAGGGCTAGGTAGAGGATCTGTGATTTCCTTGTTTTAGAGAACTCTCAGGTACAGAAACTCCCTGTAACTTTGCAGGTCGACACCTTCTCTGTAACTTCTATAATCTTTAAGTGTTGCCTAGATCCCTGAGAACCTCTAGAGAATTGCTTACAGTCACAGAGCCAGCATGTGTAAGAGGTCAGACATGAGACCAGGTCTTCCTGGCCTCCAGGCCAGCTCTGTGTCTCCTGTGCCATAGGGCCCCCTGTTACTATTATTGTTATTATCTTGTACTTAGAAAGTTGATTTTTCGAAATAAGTCTAAGGAGCACCCTGGATGGCAGATGCAGGAAAAGATTTGAACATGCTAACTCTGAGAAGGCTAAATTCAAATCTTTTGGGTTCTCCTTCTGCTTCCCAGCCTGGTGTCCCCTGAGCTGTGCGCTTTCTCTGCATGTTTAAGAGAGATCAAGGTGAAGGCGAACGGGAGCAGGAAAAGCACTCTGCAGCAGCAGGAGGAGCACTGAATTCAGATGCTTTCAGCCCTTTTTCAACTCCTTAGCTTCCAGGGCTGAATTTTATAAGTATCTCAAAGGAGAGTTTGAACTAGGGGCCTCAGTCCTCTGAGTAGGCAGCTACATGGTACCACAGTACATAAAGCACTAGGCCTGGAGTCAGGAAGACCTGAGTTCAAATTCAGCTTCAGACACTATCTGTGTGACCCTGGGCAAGTCACTTTACCTCAGCCTCGGTTTCCCCAACTATAACCTTCCCAAAGCCTTTTGGGGGCTTCCATCTGGACCTGATGGCAAATCTCGAGTAACTTCTAGAACTTTGGTTACATCTTGGAACTCCCTGGCACAGAAGAAAGAGGCCCGGCCAGATGTAGAGTCTAAGGGCCTGGGTTCAAATCCCAGCCTGTTACTACTTGTATACACTGATCAAGCTACCTAACCTCCCTGGGCCTCAGTTTCTCCTCTGTAAAATGAGGGGTTTGGAGTCAATCAGGGATTCTTCCCCTTTGTGTCCTGGGCCTTTTTGGCAGTCTGTGAACTCCTTCTCAGAATCAGGTTTATAAATGAATAAAATGAAATACTTTGCATTGCAAAGGAAATCAGTGACAATCAAATATAGTTCTCCAAATATTTTTTAAAACCAAGTTCCTGGCCCTAGGAAAAGAACTCTGGGACGAGATGATCTCTAAGATCTCTTCAAGTTCTAGAACAAAAATGGAACGTGAACACCAAAGGCAAGTCTTTGCATCTTTGAAAAGGTGCTTCAGGCATATTTGTGTTAAAGTGGTTTTTAATTTGGGAGAAAAATTTACATAACAACCTCAATTATATACAGGAGAACAAAAGAATGGTGACCAATGTAATCATGAGAATGGAAGCTCCCTGAGGACAGGGACTGTTTCCCTGGACACAGGCCAGATCCTTAATGAATGTCTGGTGAATTAAACATTGCAGTGACCAATCCTATCTTCTGAGGCCTAACAATGAAGATGCCTCCCACCCCTCCCAATGTACGGGTAGCAAAAGAGACATAGATTGTCAGGCAGGGCCCATGGGTTGGCTTGTTTTACTTTATGTTACTTGTTGATGACGAGGGAGGGCTCAGGGGAGCAAAGGAGGAAATGATGGTAATGTAAAAAAGAGTGAAATTACAACATTTTAAAAAGAGAGACAAATGTGCCCTTTTACTCCCTTCCCTCCTCCAACAAGGGTTGTGTTCTTCAGACTTCAATCACAGTTTTGAGAGATTCATTTTCTACATTTGCCTCTGTTACCTTTGGTGGCATCCATGCCTCCCACTGCATACAGGGCCCCCACTGTCGATTTTCGAGGCTTGGTCCGAGGACTTTGCATCATGGACCTTCTCTCTGGCAAGAGATGATACTTCATAGCTTCCATCAGGAGCTTTTGACACTCCAGGTCATGCACGAACATGGTACTATTCTCGAGATCAGCCAGTAACTGAAAAACATTAATGTTAGATATGAGGCCTTCTTTAAAATCATCCTCAGATGCCTCCTTGGGCATCTCACAGAATTTACCAATGGAGCACAAGCCCTGACAGGTCCTACCAAGGTGAAAGGGCTTTAGGATGTGGGCCTGGTTGTGGGCTATCATCCAAAGACCTGCCTAGACTTGGATTACAAGCAACTCATGAAGACTGTCTGCTGTGGAAGCGTAAAGGGCTGAACTCTTCATCCGGGGGAATTCTCCAAACATATGAAATCACAGGTATTTTGAAGTATCAAAATCTAGCACGTGAATTAAAATAGAAGAGGAAAAGAGATTTAGAACCATGAGCAAGAGGAGAGAGAACTTACTTCTTTGGGGTGTGCTTGATTTTTATTTATTTTACTGTATAAGTCTTAACACTACAGTGATTTAGAAATACAAATGGCGCCCACTTTAAATATTGCACACTTAACCTCTTTGTAACTTTGAGGAAATTTCTTCCCTACTATGGGCTTCTGCTCTCTGAAATAGAGGGACTGGATTTCACTGAGTAGAGTCCAGGAGTCGGGAATCTGTGGCCTTGAGACCACACGTGGCCTTCCAGGTCCTTGGGGGCTACCCTCTGACTGAGTCCAAGTTTTACAGAACAAATCCTTTGCTTAAGGGGATCTCTTCTATGAAGTTTGGATTCAGTTAAAGGGCTGCACTTGAGGACCTAGAGGGCCACAGGCTCCCCACCCCTGGACTAGACAATCTCTTACATCTCTTCTAGCCAAAAAATTATACAATTTTCCAGTTTTAGGAAAGAAAATAATTTATTTATTGAAATGATATAGAAAAATAGAGATAATGAGAATAGTTGACACGTATAGGGTTTATACACATTCCTCACAACAACCATTTTGGTAGATACTGCTTCTTACCCTCACTCTTCAACCCTTGACAATCTAGCTTGTGACCTAATCACCAAATTGAAATTGTTCTCTCCAAAGTCACCAAAGATCTCTGCATGACTTCATCTACTGCTCTTTTCTTAGTCCCGATCCTCCCTGCCCCATCTGCTGCATCTGCCTGTTGACAATCCTCTTCTCCTAGATACTGTCTCTTCTTTGGGTTTTCTTCACATTACTCTCTCCTGGTTCTCCTCTTACCTGCATGACCACTCTCTTAACTTTGGATGATCCTCAAGGTTCTGTCCTAGGTCTTCTTATCTCATCCCTCTACATGTTCTCTCTTGATGACCTCATAAGCTCTCATGGGTTCAACTATCACCTCTATACAGATGGCTCTTAAACATATATTACATATAAATATAAAAACGTGTCTGTACGCACACATACATCTCACACAGAGACATATCAAGTCCCAGTCTCTCCCCGTGCTCCAACCCTACATTACCAGTTGCCCTGGAGACATCTCAAATTCAACATGTCCCAAACTGAACGTATGTCTTTCCTTCCAGAGCCTCCACTACTCCAAACTTTCTGATTTCTGTTGAAGGCACGGCCATCCTGCTATCACCTCAGGTTTGTGACCTTGGCCTTATCCTCAACTCCTCACCCTCCATCATCCCACACGTCCCATCAGTCATAACATCTTCCATGGGTGACTCTTTCTTTCCACGTGCCCTCATCATCTCTTGCCTACATCATTACAATCTGCTGCTGAGTGGTTGCCCTGCCTCGTGCCTCCCCACTCCCATCCATCTTCCACTCAGCTGCCATTTTGGCAGCTTATCCTTAAATGCAAATCTGACCACGTGACTCCTCTACTCGAACAACTCTAGAGGCTCCCCATTGTTTCTAGGATAAATAGAAACTCCTCTGTTTATCTTTGGAAACCATAAATATTTTTGGCTCCAATGCATCTTTCTAGTCTTACTATACATCACTCATCCTCTCACACTCTGTGATCCAGCCAAAGTAACCATCTCTCTGTTCCTCACTTAGGACATGCTCCCTCAGTCTTCTACTTCTGTGTCTTTTCTTTTTTTTTTTTTAAGGCAATTGGGGTTAAGTGACTTGCCCAGGGTCACACAGCTACTAAGTGTCAAGTGTTTGGTCTGAGGCCAGAACTCAGGTACTCCTGACTTCAGGGTCAGCGCTCTATCCACTGCGCCACCTAGCTGACCCCCTTTCTGTGTCTTTTCACTGGCCAGCCCCGTGCCTGGAATGCAGTCCCTCCTTGCCTCTACCTCATGGAGTCTTCCTCTTCTTTAAGACGTGCCTTAAGCGCCGTCTTCCGGGTGAAGCCTTCCCTGATGCCCCCATCTGCTAGTGCCCTCCCTCTCAAACAACTTTGTATTTAACTACTTTCTCTCAATGTACTGTATTCACTTTATATTGATACTGTACATGTATACTCAGTGTCTCCCCATTACAATGTAACTTGTTATAAGCCAAGATTGTTTTTCCATGAACTTGTCATCTCATCATCCAGCACAGTGCCTGGCACTATGTGGTGCTAAGAAAATGCTTGTTGATTGACTTACTGATTAAATTAACAGGTTTACCAAAGATGCTTTACTAAAACCCTGCTTTGTCCTCTTGTAAATCTGCCTAAGGGGCCTTGTACTGCAAAGGTCCTGAGCTTGGTCCTCAGGCTGGTTTTGATTTTGGGTGGCAGAAGGGCAGTCACAGTCTCTCTTAACCCCTATATGTACTGTCCCTGGATAGACCCTTACAAGCCAATAGGCTTCTCTGTGGAATCAAATCAGGAACCAATTAAATTAAGATAAAACTTGGAGCACTTAGCAACACAAAACATTACATGTTTTTAGTGTTTGTAGGGGGAAAAAAAGGAATCGATTTTTTACCTTCTTACATGAGGTTGCTTGTCTATCAAGTCCTAGCCATGGTATTCACATGTGAACAGTGATGGATGATTCAGGTTTACTGTGTATAGAGGCATATGTATGCATATACACACATGTCTACATATAATGTGTGAAACTATAAATATACACATACATGTGCATGTGTGTGTGTATGTGTGTGTGTGTCTGTGTAGACACAGAGCTCTTATTCCTCTAGTATTGATCATTTACACCCTGAAGAAGAAAATTTATCATGGTTTATCAACAACCATGCAATTGTAAAATAGAAATGCACTCAAGCATCTGCTATAACACTGAGGAATTCATGAGTCAAATCAAGAAGCATTTATTGAGCTCCTACTATGTACCAAGCACTGGAATAAAAAAAAATATGGTCCTTCCTCTCAAAGATCTTAAAGTCTAATGGAGGAGACAACATGTAAATAACGATATACAAACAAAATACAGACAGGATAAACTGGGAGTAACTTCAGAGGGAAGGCACTAGTATTAAGGGGGACTGGGAAGAGGTACTGGAGAAGGTGGGACTTTAGCTGAGACTTGAAGGAGTCCAGAGGATCCAGGAGGCACAGATGAGGAAAGAGAGCATTCTAGGTATGGGAGACAGACACTGACAATGGCTGGAGTTGGGAGATAGACTGTCTATTGCAAGGAACAGCAAGGAGGAGGCCAGTGGATGAGAGGGATGAGAGAGAGAGAGAGAGAGAGAGAGAGAGAGAGAGAGAGAGAGTAAGAGAGGAGGGGGAGGCAGAGTAAGGTGTAGGCAGGCTGGAAAGGTAAGAAGGGGCCAAGCTATGAAGGACTTTAAAAGCCAAACAGAGGATTTGATATTTGATTGGAGGTAAAAGATTTGTAGCCATGCCAATCAGTTCTCAATCCCAACCTAGCTCCTAAACTGGTCTGGGCAGGATTATCGTTCTAGGTGACAGTGGATAGGGGGCTAGACTTGAAGATGGGAAGACCTGGGCTCAAATACTACTTCATGCACTTTATTATCCATGTGATTTTAGGAAAGTTACTTAGCCTCTGTGCCTCAGTTTCCTCAACTGTAAATGGAGATAATAATAGCACCTGCTTCACAGCTTGTTGTGGGGATCAAATGAGCTGACATGTGCGAAGTGCTTTGCAGACGTTAAAGCACAATATAAATGACTAATCTCCAGGGCTCTAGCTTCTCCTGGGCCTCTCTGCTGAGACTTCTCTCCTCATTTCCTCACCTAGATAGCAGGCAGCAGCAGGACACAGAAATGGAATTCTAGGCAGTCTGTTTTGCTACCCTCTGAAACTCCATTGAGGCAGGAAATTGAAATTTGATGCATTAAATGAAATTTGAAAATTATCTATGGATTTCCTTCCTCCATGGTACTTCTCTTTATCATTACTGCATCTAAATAACAGCTGGATGGAGCCTTTGAGGCACATAATTCATAGGGTCATAGAATCTCTGAGTTAGAAACAACTTCAGAGTCCAATCAGTGTCTAAATAAGATTCCCCTCTGTACTTTGCCGTATCTGCGATGTCATTGATGTGGGTCCTCTCTCCAATGGCACAGAACACAACCCATTCATACACTCTTCATTGTGTGACCCTCGATCATGTCCTCACATAAATCTCTCGTAGGTTGCTGATCTACCACGTCAGAGCTTTTCTCTAGATTTCTTGACATTAGGTGTGTGCTAATGAGACATGTAGGCTTTTCATCAGTTAAATCTAGTCTTTTTTCTGCTCGTGTGGCTCTCTGATGTCATTCTTTATGCCACTTCTCCTGTGTGATTCCTCAATGATAATGTGTTGCAGCCTACTCACACCCACCATGAATCGCTCCACTGCCCTCCAGATGACTCATAACTTTAATTTTTCAGAGACTGTGCTGTTCTATGACTCACTGCCATATAACTTCACTAAAAGAATAATAATATTAAAAAGTTGGGCCCTTCTTTCATCTGGAAGCTTAGAGACATTAAAATCACTGCATGATTCCCTAGAGACAATCCAACTGCTCTCCTCCTTCTATTCAATTCTGGAGCCACTTCACTGTTCATCCACAGAGTCTGTCAAAGGTATAGTTATACGGATAAACTAGCTCTACAGGGGGTCCATCCAACCGACAATGGGCTTTCTTCATCTGCTTAGTTTTTTTTTTTTAACGTGGATGGTTAAGCTGAACTCTTTTGGGTGATTTTGAATCTTCGTTCAATATTCTGGTTCTAGATTCAATAAGCAAAATGTCATTTGCAAACGTGAGCATGTGGAAGGATTCCTCTTCCATTTTGTTCTGAACTGGATATCCTCTATGAGAGTGGCAAATGCCTTTGGCAAGCATATAGTTCTCTGTTTTATGTCTCGTTTTGTATCAGTAGTCAGGGAGTTAGGAAAGAGGTATGTCTATTCTTTAATTTTTCAAAGAATCTGGAATGATTTTGCCATATGCACTAGAGGGACCATTCTGGAGGAGGGCCTCTAAGGCAGCAGTTTATTTTACCAAATCAAATGCTTTCATAGTCAACAAACAATGTGCACAGTGGGATCTTATATTCCCTACAACTTTCAGTCAACTGTAATTGACTGAATTTATTTTCTACAAATTATATTCTCTACATATTACATTTCCTATAAACTTTCAGTCAATGTGATTGTAACAACGTGGTCTGTTGTAGAATATAATTTGTCCAAGCTTTCCTCTTCCTTCCTTATATCTTCATCAATAATGCCCTTTGTCTGTGTGTACAGCAGACTTTTCTCATAAAGATTTTTATAGAGATGGAAAGCAGGCCTATGGGGTAGGACTTACTGATATAATCTCAGTTCCCCTTTTTCTGTTTGTCTTTGGTTTCCTCTCAACTTTCAGTTATCTTCAGTCAGTCAATAAGCTTTTATTAAGCACCCACCAAGTGCCAGGACCTGTCCTAAGCATTAGTGATATAAAAAAGGCAAAAGATAGTCCCTGCTCTCTCAGAGCTTACAGTCTGATGGGGGAGACAACACACAAACATACATGTATGAGCGAACTATGTACAAGATAAACTGGAAATAATCAACAGAGAAAAAGCACTAACATTGTGGGGGAATCAGGAAAGGCTTCCTGTCAAAGGTGGAATTTTAGCTCAGACTTGCAGGAAGCCAAGAGGCAAAGATGAGGAGGGAGAGCATTCCAGGCATAGGGGACAGCCAGTGAAAATGCCAAGAGTTGGGGGACGGAATGTCTAGTGTGAGGAACAGCAAGGAAACTGGTGTCATTGAATCACAGAGAATATGGAGGGAGGGGGCATGTAACATGTAAGAAGACTTGAAGAGTAGGAATGGGCCAATTCATGGAAGGCTTTAAAAGCCAAACAGAGGATTTTTTTATTTGGTCCTGGAAGCAACAGGGAGCCACTGGAGTTGTTTGAACTGGAGGCGGGGGGAGGTGACATGGTGAAACTTGCACTTTAAGAAGATCAATTTGACAACTGAGTAAAAGCTGACCTGGAGTGGGGACAGACTTGAGGCAGGGAGACAAACTAGCAGACTTGATAATTGCAAGTCTTGATAATTGATCCTTTAAATCCCCCACTATTTTGTCAGTTCTCACACAGACCTCTTTTGTGTGCATTTGGTCTAATCTAACTGCTTCTCATCTGTATTTAGTAACATTTCTACTTCTGAAGGGTTACGTTATATAACTGTGGTGTTAGAATCCAAATTTGGAGGTTCCACTGTCATTAATGGAGAAAAGAGTTCATTATAGAAATCTTTACAGATTATTTATACTTTTCATCTGTTTGTTGAACTTCCATTTTTATCCTTAAATGCTCTTATGATTATCTGGCTTAAATGGACATCTTGTCAAACTTTCCACACATTTATTTTTTTTCTCCATTGCTAGTAGCTATTTTATGAGGTTGTACTACTTATCCACCTCCTCTATCTATTGCTCTTAGAGGTGTCAAATTTGCCACCTGTTGGACTCCCTAGTCCATCCCCAACCAGATTAAAATGTAACTGGCAAATGTTTAACAAAATAAATAAAATAAAATGCAACATAGATAATGTTAATTTGTGGTTTTGTAAGTCAACAGCTGGCAGAGATCCATTTCCATTTGAATTTGACACCCCTGTATTCTTCTATTGTCCCCTCCATAACATTTTACAAATGTATTTATTTTGTATTTTAAACCAGGTTGCCCTTGGTTCCATATCTCTCTGCTTGGCAAGAAGATCAAGTGTTTGCCAGCTGAGGCAACTAACCTAGAGGTTAGTTGTGGCAACTGATTTATACCAGGTAAATTTGTTTAAGTAAAAGTGACAGTCTGTGTTAATATCTGTTGTTTTATCCATTTCCCATTTGCTTTTCTATCAACTGTTTTAAAAAATAGGCCAGGTTAGAGATAATTCAATTATATATCATATCTTTTCATTTCTGTTCTTTCATCTAATTAATTTTTGTCCATTCAGGCTAGTAATCTATACATAGGCAGTTGGTTCATAAATGTTTCCTACATCAATAGGCAGTTCTTTTCTGCCTATTAAAGTAAATCATTATATCTTGCTCACTACGTAAGTTTTGATGCACCCTAAGATTGCATCAGCTTTTCTGGCTGCCGTAGCATAACTGATTCATATGGATCTTACAATCTACTAAAACTTGAATTTTTTTCAGATGATCTATCTTATACTTGTAAAGTTGATTATTTGAACCCAAATGTAAGCTTACATTTATCCCTCTTAAATGTCATCTTATCAAATCCTTATCTATATATTAATCCCCAGAAATCCTCTGAAAAAAATTTATATGGATTAATAAGGATTTGGATTATTACCAGTTTGGGAATTATGATTCGAGTTATTTACATCAATTTCCTTACCTGTGGTGGAAGTAATGGCAATCTAATTAAAGACAGGAGCATTCCCAGGTGTTGCTGTCTGTTCTGAAAATCATGCTTTACCCATATCATTAAAGCATGGAATATAGCTTCTTCATCTGGCACATTAATGTCATCACTAGACAAAAGTTTTGCAATTTCATTAGCTGGAAGTAGGAGAAATTCCTGGTTCTTTGTCACCTCTACAAAGTGTTCCTAAAAAAGGAAGTTATTTTAGTGAGACTAAACACATTTTAACTCCACATCAAAATAGTACATCTCAAAACATTTCCTAGGATTAAGCCCCTGAGGTTGATATACCCAATCCAATTTGAGAAGCAGGGAAATGAAGGCAAAGGATGAAAATAATGAAAACCAAAACTGAGATACACAGATTTTCCAGATCGCAGGGGCGCCATGCCCCTCACCCCTGCGATATGGAAGGGATAACTATATTTGATTCTAGAAACAATAGGGAACCACTGGAGTTTACTGAGTAGGAGGTGACATGGTTAGACCTGTACTTTAGGAAAACCACTTTGGTGGCTGAATAGAGAATAGAATGGAGTGGGGAGAGACTTGAGGTAGGGAGATTCACCAGTAAAATACTGTAGTAGTCCAGGCATGAGGTTGAATATTTCTGTGACCAGAAACAAAACTATTGCTTGGGAGCCATGACCTATGAATGAGTCTCTGGGTAGGCACAGGTAGGCCGGTCCTTGAATGACATATTCTACCTCAGTCCCTGGGTCTGTCCTCCAAAACCTTTCTAGTTAGGTGGAACCTATTAGAGTTTGTGATCTATTGGTATAGATTACAAAAGTTCAGGGTCATGATGAAGATTTGCATGAATGTCCTATAGTTTATGTTCTACAGTACCAGGCACACAACCCTCAGCTTATATATAAAGAATATGTAATGCAGAACTGGGGGATAAGGGAGGAGTCCTACGTATATTCCTCTATTACTCAGTCATTAAATATTCAAGACTAGGGTCCTATGGATTCAAGAAATATGAACCCTAGGAATGTGGAAATATGACTAGACACAATGGAACACGAGAGGATTGGGTGCTACCACTATTAGGCCTATACTCTCTCTGTCTCACACTACAGTTTTTGGATTAGTAAAAAGATGTTTTCTGTACAGACCTTGCCAAAATGGGCTAATTTTCTTTCCTTATTACATTATTCATTTCCTTATTACATTACTCATTAAGTAAAATGAGGTAATAAGGAATAGAGACACGAACGCACTTTAAAACATTAAAATCTCAACATTAGTGGAATTAATATTATTTTAATTTAATTTTAAAGTTGTAGTGATAACTTTTCCTTGTATATAGCATTTTTTTGAGTTATGCTCTCTGCCTCCATCCTCAGCAACTACCCTACCCATTGAGTCTTCCCCAGTAACCCCTTGTGACAAAGAAAAACACTTCAGCAAAACCAGCCAACACAAGGACCATGGCTGACAGTATATGCAACATTCTGTGCTCATAGTCCTCCACTTCTCCAAGAAAATGATGGAGGTACATTTCTGGAACGTATTATCATTATCATTATTATTATTATTAAAGTGGTTTGTAATGTTAATTGGCTGCCAGGAGCTTGAGCAGTGGAAGAGGAGGTCATGTTAACTGAATAAATGAAGTTTGGATGTTTGTATATTAGCTAAATAAAAATAACTTATTTGGGTCAGACTGCCCACGCACAGTACTTCAAAATAAGAAATTGCAGAGGATCTTTCAATTAAGTTTAAAGACTATGATATAAACTGCCTCCACCCTGGGGTACAATTTTGTTTGTCATTTTGGGAGAAACCCTTTGCATGTTCCATCTCAAATATTTTCTTTGTCACTGTTGTGGTTTCTACTCAATTTTGTCTATCCAGCACATCGATTTCATGAAACTCATTCAATGATTAGAGTACCCTTTGTGAAATTCTCTGTCACTAACTAGGATTGTAATTGAATACATAAAGGAGTTGTGAATTCTTTTTCGACACCAAACAATACATCACAAACATTTCGTTATGGCATGTCTCTTGGTTATTTCAACAGTGTGCACAATATGGTCAAAAATAACTGGGATTAAAGAGGACACCAGCAGTGCATTTTAATGCACATCCTGTTTTAACACTGTTTCGGTCACATAATAGGAAAAGGAAGACAAATCCATTTGGAGCTACAGAAATAAACTCAAGCTGTTTATCAGAAAATGTTTCGTCTGCTGGAGTCAGATACCAGGCAGGAAACCGTTAACACTCGAGCTTTAAGAACTGAAGTAATCTCTCAGGAAGTTCTCATGTTGGCTTTTGTGGTGGGGTTCATCGTTGAACTAGCTAACTGCTCTTTCTTTAGATTATAAGGAATCAGCATTTAGGGCAGAGTGACAAAAATAGCCTCTTTAAATGACACATTTTCAAATTTGAGCCAATTCTACTCGCAGTGTCATTGTCTCCTGAAGCGCTGTGGACAGTTCATATCTGCGACAGTCTCCATGAAAAAGACGGTCTCTTTAACCCACTGCAGAGAATTTCTGTCTTGTGCAAAATTGTCATTGTTAAGTACAGTCCACAACCCTAGAGAAACACTCCCATTTGGTTAAATGAATGAAACCAGAGATGGGGGCTGAAATGGCTTTAAATCTTTAACACCTCTCTCCACATCGACATTGGTGGAATTGCTTTGCTTATCATATCTAAAATCTTTTGGGTTCCCTTTCATGTGTATTCCTTCACCTCTAGCTCTGGTAGTATCTTTCACATTGTGTTAATCTGAAGAAAAAGAAAGAATAAATGCTGTTGGAGTTTTTCTTATCCTGAAATATTTATCTCTTAATTTGGCTTCAGAGCAAGATCTCCTTTGTGGATGTCATTCCTAGCAAGGGACAGCAGTGAGTTATTTCTCTTCACTGATTTAGGGAAAGATTGGTATTTGTGGTAATGCTGCATTTAATTTCCCTTACTTAGATTCTCTCTCTGCCCCTATCATATACTCTATATTTTGTCTCACTGTCTATAATTTGACTGCAGGGCGAAATTTTGTGGAAAATGAAAATTCTTGAGAACCATTCCATACAAATGTGCGATTGACCACTACTATTCCTAATGGGATTAAGACGACTTTGGAATTACAGTAATTTCAAAGACTGACTTATCAGCTCTTTGTAGCTACCCAGATATTTCTTTTTTATTTTATATTATTATAAAACATACAGCAAATATACTTTCAGAAATCCAAGTTGAGAAATTTTGAACCCATCTTAGTTGGTACCAATCCAGTCATACTGTTATAGTTCCTTACTTCAAAAAAGAATGCAAAAAAGAAAGGAAAATAACTGTGTCACTTTCAGGAGTTATCTCCAAATTTAAAATTGGAAATGTTACAAAACATTGTTCAAATCAGGGCCTACAAAAAGAACTTCTCCATATATGTATATATATACACACACAGACACACACACACACAGTTCAAATCCTAGTGACCTCAGGTGAGTCACTTCATCTCTCTGTGCCTGTTTCATCCTCTGCAAAATGAAGGGTACTGGACAAGACGATCTATATAATGTCCCTTTCAGCTCTAGGTCTAGGATACTAGAAAAAAAAATTATGCTTTTGCCAAGAGAATCACTAAATAGTGCATACCCTTGGACTCAGTGTTACCATGACTAGACCTTTATGCCAAAGTGATCGAAGACAGAAGAAAAAGATCCAGAAATACAGAAGCATTTATAATAGCTTTTTTGGTGTCATAAAAGAACTGGGCTGAACAAGTTAGCTATTTGAATGCCATGGATGGCCACTGTACTGTAAAAAATGATAAAAGGGATGGTTTCAGAGAAACCTGGGAAACATAAACTGATGCAGTATGAAGGGAGCAGAACCAGGAGAACAATTTATACAACAACAACAATGTTGTAAAGATGAACAATTTAGAAAGACTTGAGAACTCTGATCAAACTCAATGGCCAACCACAATTCCAAAGGACCAATGATGTAGTATCCTACCCACCTCCTGAGAGAGAAGTGATGGATTCAGGCTACAGAATTGAAATGTACATTTTCTGATTTGGCCAGTGTGGGAATTTGCTTTGCTTTAACAAACAGCCATAGATTCTTGTAATAATATTTGTTATAAGAGCTTTGGCTTTTTTCCCCAATGGTGGGGGGAGAAGGAAGGGATAAAAAACAGGTTTTTGTTTATTGAAAAAAATTAAAAAAAGAAATACATATCTTTGCAAGGTTCAGTTTGAGGCTATGCTGTGACTTTTGTTTTTGCAAGCTGTAGGTACAAAATTTGGGTGTGGGTAGTTGGCATGATTAAAAAACCCACAAACCAGATAGCGAGTTGTACAGCCTGCTAAAATCATGGCAACGGAAATGAAGAAGACTATTGTGCTTACCATCGTGTAGTCATGTGCCACCTTTAGGAGATACATACATCCCTGTGCATCGCCAAATGAGCGAATCCCTAAGCAGTTGGAGGGATGGAGCTGCTTGATGAGGAAATTGCAGCATACTTCAATGACTTGAGAAAGCTGGAGGAGACAGGCTGCAGACAGCAGATTTTCTATGGTGTCTTCTTTTAATTCTAAGACACCTAAGATACATATAAATAAATAAATAAATATATATATATATATACACACATACATATATAAACATAAAAATACACACACACGCACACACACACACACACACACACACACACAAAGTGAGGATTGGTTATAAGGGATATTTAGCCCAGAGTAGAAAATCCCCAGGGACAGGCTAGCTGTCTTCAAGTTTCTGAAGGGCTATCAATGGGAAGTAGAATTATTCGATTTGGCCCTAGAAGGGAGAACCAGGAGAAATGGGGATAAGTTTCAAAACAGCAGATTTAGGTTCAAGGTAAGACAAAACTTCCTAACAGAGGGGGTGGCACAGTAGAAATAATGCTGGATTTGCAGTCAGAGGGCCTGGATTCAAAACTCACCTTTGTCATTTATTACTTGTGTGACCCTGGAGAAGTGATTCTATCTCTCGGCCTAGCTTTCTACATGCATGAAATGAGAAGGGTGGACTAGATGGCCTCGGGGTCCTTCCAGCTCTAAATCTGTAATTCTAGAACTATCCCAAAGCAGAACAGTGGATTCCTTTGTCATTGGCAGTCTTCAAGCAGAGGCTGGATGACTGGTGGGTGTGTTGTGATGGAGAGTCTTTTGGGGGTATGGTCTGGACTAGGCCCCTTTCAATTCTGAAATTTCAGGATCCTGACCTTTTGAATAGTGGGAGAGGTTAGATGTGTAATCACTGTTGCCAAAGTATTACACACTGGATGGAATGAGTTGGTTGGAAGTATATATAGATTTAATAGCCAAAGGAAGGAAACGAATAAATATCTAGCATAGGACTCAACCCACTTTTTTTAGGCAAGACTGTGTCCAGATAATTATAGAAAGGTAGGTCCCTAGAGTCTTATACAAGATATAAAATGTCTATCGGTTTTATGCCATGCCACGTATTATCTGTCTCTTGCCTCTTTATGCAATCTACATATTAAATATCTGCAATTCAAGAATCAGGAACTACCTCTAATATTCTTCACAGTATTCGGATATGTTATGGTTGTTTAGTTGTTCAGTCACATCCAACTCTTCGTGACCCCGTGGACCATAACACACCAATGCTGTCCATGGGGTTTTCTTGGCAAAGATACTGGAGTCGTTTACAATTCCTTCTCCAGTAGATTAAGGCAAACAGAAGTTAAGTGACTTGCTTAGGATCACACATTAAGCATCTGATGCTGGATTTGAATTCAGGTTTTCCTGACTCCAGGCCCAGCACTCTATCCACTGAACCATCTTGCTGCCTCTATTTGGATATGTACTCTCATAATAATGATTAGAAGCCGCATGATACAGCAGAAAGTGTCCTGGACTTGGGGTCATAAAAGCTGAATTCAAATTTTGCTCTGCCTGTTCTACCCTGGACAAGTCATTTATTCTCTTTGGACCTTAGTACCTTCCTCTGTTGGCCAAGATGGCTTCTAAGGCTCCTCCTGGCTCTAATATGCTATGATCCTATAAAGTGGGGAAGTAGAAGCCACACGGAAACAAGTATGTCATTACCAATTCTTCAAGTGGTTAGGACTCTGTGAACTGGTGCCATAAGATTATGTGATGAGATATGTGAGGGAAAGGACAAAGCTGTGACCTTTGCCTTTAACTTCGGAAACATGGTCAAGTTGGGGTTACCTGTGTAAGCGTAGTGCACCAAAGCTTTCAGCGCATCTGGGTCTATTCCCTCCATCTTGATCTCCTCCTGCTTGGCTTCCAGCACATCATTAGTAAACATTGCAGCAAAATAGTCTGATGCAGCACTCAGCACCAGCCTTGAAATAGGAATATTTCAGAAGAACTTTAATTAATCTAGCATATTATTAGAAAGTACAAAATTTAACTTTAGAACGTAGATAAGGCTGCCTTCCACATGATACTTTGTGGGCTGTGAAAGTGTTCAGTGCACACCAAAAGGGAAATTAAGAATGTGGGCTTGAACTGCTTTGAGGACCTCTCTGAATCTTGTTTTTTGTCCAATCAATCAACATGCCTGCTTGTATTTTGTACCCATTATATGTCAGGCCCTTTGCTTAAGCACTGGGGCTACAAGCACAAACAATGAAACTGTCTCTACTTGTAAGCCCTTTATAGAAAAAAAAATGGGCCTTCTTGTTCAGGATCTTTTCAAAGCTATAATCAATTCCATATCCCTTTTTCCAGGGCTCCAGTTTGTTTGATAGTCTAATTATTACCACAGCAAACCAGAAGTAACATTAAAGTATGCATTCTTTCCTTATTCTTGAGAATTCTTGCAATCTCCCCTCCCAACTTCCAATTCCCTCCCCACACTGCAATTGTTCTGAGAAAGTAGAGCACCAAACCTATGGGCTGGGATTGTGTGATGTCCAGCAAGGAGGAGCACATCACAGAGCTGTTTCTGCTGGAGGTAGTTCTCCATTTTGCGGATGGTCTGCTCTGCATGATTGGTGGACTGGAAGAACTCCTCAGATCTAGCACTATTCATTCCCAAGGCTGGACAGTTATCGACAGGTAAACTGAAAAGAAGAAGAACAAGAAAGGAAAGGGATTGCGCTGCTTCCTTTTGTAAACAAAGATGTCTTTTCCCCCAGTAAGATTTCAAACACCCAAGAAGAATTTAGCTCCAGCAACTACCAAAAAATAACCTTCCAATTTGTTCTCAAAGCTTAGTATTTTTGCCCTGATCAATGTAGCAACTTCACAGAAAGTGGAGAAGTTACAGTGACATTGTGATTGGAAGGGAACCAAGGAGAGCTAACCCTTGATTCAAGTACATGGCTAATGGAAAGTAGAAAGCAAACTTCAAAAAGTGACTCTTTTGGAGCAGCTAGGTGGTGCAGTGGAGAGAACACCAGCCCTGAAGTCAGGAGGACCTGAGTTCAAATGTGACCTCAGACCAAACACTTGACACTTACTAGCTGTGTGACCCTGGGCAAGTCACTTAACCCCAATTGCCTCAAAACAAAAAAAAAAGTGACTCTGGGCAGATTGGGGGAAGGGGTATTCAGAATGCACGCCATCTTGGGGTGAGGGGAGGGACGAGATGGGGAGAAAATTTGGAACTCAAAATCTTGTGGAAGTGAATGTTGAAAACTAAAAATAAATAAATAAATTTTAAAAAGTGACTCTTTAAGTCTTGTGATTATTGTGAATGTTTTCTCCCAAATCTCCAAATATTTGGTGGAACTGTGAATTGGTCAAGTCATTCTGGTTTTTATTTGTCTGTTTGTTTGTTTTTTAGGCAATTGGGTTTAAGTGACTTGCCCAGGGTCACACAGCTAGTAAATGTCAAGTATTTGGTCTGAGGCGGGAATTGAACTCAGGTCCTCCTGACTCCAGGGCCGGTGTTCTATCCACTGCAGCACCTAGCTGCCCCTGGTCAAGTCATTCTGGAAACCAATTTGGAACAATGCCCCCAAAGTCCCTAAATTGCACATACCCTTTGACCCAGTGAGACCACAACCAGGCCTCTGTACCCCAATGAAATCAAAGACAGAAAAAAAAGTCCCAAATATACAAAAATATTCATAGCAGCTCTTTTTTTTTTAGTAGCTTCAAATTGGAAACTAGGGTACCTACCTATTGGGGAATGGTTAAACAAGTTACGGCATGTGAACAGAACAGAATGTATATTCTGTCATATGAAATAATAAAATGGATAGTTTCAGAAGAAAGTGATGCAGAATAATGTAAACAGAACTAAGAGATCAATTTATATGCTAACAATAACTTTGAAAGCCTTTAGAACTCTTTTCACTGCAATGATCAGCCACGAGTCCAGAGGATAAAGCATGCCACCCACCGCCTACTAGAGAGAGATGATGAGCTTAAACTATAGAATGAGACGTACATTTTTGGAGAAGGCCAACATAGAAATCTGTTTTGCTGAATTATGCATATATTATGAGGGTTTTATTCTTTAAAAATTGCTCAACAGTGAGAGAGTGAGAGAGAATAAATGCTTGTAAAAATAAATAAAGTAACTTTTTAAAAAGAAAGTTAAGCCTCCCTCTGTGTAATAGGAGAAGTACTAACTTGGCTTAATTCAGTCCAATGGGAGAATGAAGGCATGGGCCAAACCTTTTATTCATTTACTCTGCTTTGGGACCTTGTGTCACCATTTGGGAACTAAATGAAACCTTGTCAGTGGCTTTTCTTACTTGCCTTCTACCACTCTTTGGGACAGGCCTTTTTTTTTTTAAAACTGGTTTACTTGAAGGCTCCCCTGGCACAATAAATAGTCTACAAAGCAATGAGTTTTGGGGGTTTTTTTGTATCCTCACTCTGTACATGGATTGGGCTGTTCTCCTCTCCTCTTTCCTTTACTCCAGTGTGGTCCAATCTCCACAAATTAACTCAAGTGCTCACTGGTTTCCTAGTATGCAAGATGGTGGTCATTAAGGAGAAAGAGTTCTATAAATTCTTAATGGAGTGTAAAGAGTACTAGAATTCTAGTCAAAGGGCTTAGTTGCAAATTTTAGCTCTGCCAGTTACTAGCTGTGTGACCTTGGGCAAGTCACAACCTGTGTCTGCCTCGGTCACCTCATCTGTAAAATGGGGATAATAATAACACCTACCTCCCAGAGTTGTTGTGAGGATTGAATGAGATAATACTTGTAAAGCACTTTGCAAACCTGAGGGTGCTCTTGAAATGCTGGCTATTATTAAAAGGTCAAGATGACCTAGGTAACACAAGGTGGTGATTTTGTTGGTTTATCTGTTGTCTCTGTTGTCCTCTTATCAGAGGAAAGCAGAAGAGCAAAGAAGGGAGAGGAACACTGCTAGGGATGGAGGGGTTAATGATAATGGCTGGCAATGACAAGGTCGAGCTGCCCAATTCATTCTGCTTGTTTTCTATGCCAAGGTAAATGAACTTTAAACTGGTAAGGACTGAACAAAAATGGCCAAATGGAAGCTAGAGGACAAGATAAATAGACAGTGAGAGAGCACGCAGCTGCGCTTCACACATTCAAGTCACTGGACCCTGATGAACTAGCACACTGTGTAAATTTTCTATGGGAGATTTCCAAAAAAGCCATCAACAAGAATCACATAGGATAAGAAGGCATGGATGGGTTGTAATCTGCATTGGGGAGGGAGCACCTACACCAACAACAATCACATGTCCTTTGAAATACAGAAACGTAGCAGGCTAACCTACAGAGAGCAAAAACTTGACTGCCCTAAAGAAAGAAAGCCTGGGCACTCAAAAATGATATGGAGGTTATATAGGTGAGAAAGCACTCAAAGTACAACTAATATATCCATCGAAATATATGAAAAGAGGTAAACAAAGAACTCATTGGTGTAGCATCTCTCAAACTATAACTGTCTCAATTCATTTCATAGCCCGAGCTTTGTGTCTTCTAAGATATTTCTTATGATCGTGCCTATAAAGATGTTTGCTTCTTAGAATTTTGTAACTGCAAAGATCATCTTTCCTCTAGGAGATGCAAATGAATTGTTACTGCTTGCCACAGAGAGATACACACATGCACACATTTATATATAGCTATATTAAAAATTAAGATCTTCCTTCCCTTGTTAGGTTCTCTGCGTATTAGAAATTTATTCCCTCTCCCCTAGAGAAGTTGAGTTAGCATTCTTATGTAGAATCCCAAGGGAAGAAGTTTTAAGCACAACCATTAGAGATCCTTTGATTCTTGCTTGAGAAAACAACTCACAGCTGTCTTCTAGGCATTCTTCCTGAACTCTGTGAGAAGATTCGTGTCCACGTTAATTGGCAAATATACTGCATACCTATGTAGTTATAATTGCTTCTTTTGCTTTCATCCCTCAAACCATCTGACAAGGTCTCCCCCTTGTTTTACAACTTAATAGAGAAGTGTCCAACTAGACCCAAATGGCCCCATAGCACTTGGGATCAGAGATGAAACCTTCCATATCCTTCTTCTTGGACAACTTGGAATAAAAGGGAAGCACTTCCATCCCACATTCTCATCCCCATCAACCAATTACTGTGCTCAAAGATCCCAAAGCATAGGTCTGGACAGGTAACACCTTCCCCCCATCAATCACTGTTCTGGAACATCCTCAAAAGAGGAAGCACCCCTATCCCATGTCAGAGACGTGATTCTACCTACATTAAATGAGGAAGCTTGGAAGCCAGCTTTGTAGTAGTCACACCACCACCTCAGTCTGCAAGCAGATTTGGAGCATTCCACTCCTGTCTCAAGCTGGCAGAAAAGGAATATCCTTTCATAATTCTCCCTGGAGAGTTTACATGGATGTTGTCCTTTTCCCCCTCTCTAGTGCAGATGCTGATTTGCCACATAATCAGTCATTTCAAGAGGCTTTTGCTGCTAAACGTGGACACTCACAAAGAGAACCCTCAGATGACCTAATTTCCTCACACAATCGGTCTAGGCTACAAAGGCATCTTCGTGCTCATGTAGTTCAACCAAGTGCGTAATGTTAGCTACAACATTCCAGAGAAGTGTTCTTCCAGCCAGTACTCGAACAACCCCAATAATGGGGAACCCACTAAGTTCATAAGGCAGCCCATTCCATTCTCAGACAGCCTTAATTGTGGAAAAGTTGATCCTCATACTGCGACAACATTTTTCTCCCTTTCACATCCATTTAGATCATTTGAAGACTAGCTATCATTCCCCTTCCTGCTCCCCCAAGTCTTTTCTTCTTTAAGGTAAGTCATACACAGATCCCTCAACTGTTCTTAAACAAGTTTTAAGTCTCCTTATCATAGGATCCCTCCAGTTGTTTGTCAGTGACCCTGCTAAGACCCCAAACTGGTGTTCTACCGAGTGTAGGGAGGACAACTGAACGTTACGGAGCAGAACAGAACTGTCACTACCTTTGTGTTGGGCTCTAGACTTCTATTAATGTAACTGAGGGAGCAAACATTTGAAAGCTGAAGTTCACATTAGCTATTTTTGCTGCCACAGCATCCTGTTGTTCTAGATAGAACTTGTCGCTCTTTTATCGGATGGCCTGCCAGATCTATCCCATCCTACACTGGTGTGGTTGATTTTTTGAACCTAAGTGCAGGATTTTATATTTACCCCATAAATCCATCTTGTGAGACCGAACCTAGTATTCAAGTCTGTGAAGATCTCCTGGGGGCCTAATTCTGTTATCTAACACAGTGACTATCCCTCCTGAATTGCTACTCTGTCTGTTCTAAGCTATTCTCTAGGCCACAGAAAGTCGGTCTATTGATATCTAATACCTGCTTTTAGTAAACATGCAGGTTTTGAAACTATTAGACTGGCTATTAAATTTCTTTGACTAAAGACTCGTCATTGTCAGATGTGATCTGGTGACTACCCTAGGCTGTAGTGGTCTCTCCTTACCCAGGTGCCCTATGAAATTTGGCAAGGAATCACATATAACATCTCAGCTGTCTTGAACTAGTCTTTAAACTTTTTGCTATTGTCTGACTTTTGTTTTTAATTTAAAATATTTATTGACTTCTCATTTATACCCTGCCTTCCTTTCCAAATTTATTCCATCCTCTCTACCCTGCAAGTC